AGTGACATACAATGTGACATATTTTAATATTTTGATAGATTATCAGTATTAAATTTATTTATTTTTAACTTATAATTTCAAAAACATCCATTTATTCAATAAATTGTTGTAATATAAATATATATATATATGTGTATATTATATATAACAATTATATATATATATATATATAAAATAATTTTTTGTCTGTAGATAACAATTGTTATATATATATATATATAACAATTCTTTGCTGCAGATAATATATTATCATGGATCAACTATGTAAAGAACCTCATCTTGATATAATAATTGAAGAAAATGAAATTGTTGATGGTGCTAAAAAGATAATTAAGAAAATTAGACCAACATGGCCTTTAAATAATTTACATTTTAAGGTAAAATATTTATAAGATATAATATTATATAGTAGTTTTTTACATTTTATATACATGATTATTTACAAAGATTTAATTTTGCTTATCTATTTTTAAATTCATTTTAATTTCTAAAAATTATAGTTTTTAAAGTATACTATATATTATTAATTAATTAAATGTTATATTCAAAAGTATTAATATTAACTATATAACTCTTAGTTCAAAATTATTTAGATTGATACTACATATAAATAGTAACAATAATAAATAATAATATAAAAAAAAAATTAAGTTAATTGTATCTATTATTATATTGTGTTATATGATAGTTCTATTTCATATTTGATTTATTCAAATTTGTTATTTACATTATATTATTATCATTATTATACATTATGATTAAATATCAAATGTTTTCATTTCTTTTCAAGAATATTTTTTTATACCTTGATACATTATATTTAAAATTTGATAATATTGATAATATATTTTTTTTTCCCAATGTTAAATTTAAAATCTAATAAATTTTATAAATACTAATTTATTAATCTTTATTTAATAATCTATTAATTTATTATATTTTATTAAATTAAAATAAAAATTTATTTAAATAATATTGCATTTTTATTTTTTTAGATATTTACAGATGGAATCACAAATAAACTTATAGGAGTATGGTATGCTGGACATTACAATGAAATGGTTTTAATTAGAATTTATGGACATAAAACAGATTTACTTATTAATCGAAAAGATGAAACAAGAAATATTCGAGTAAGTTTAATATTTAGAAAGAAAAAATAAAAATATATGTAATCAAAATAATTATAAATAAATTGATTTTTTAAATAGATATTAAATAAAGCAGGTTTTACACATTCCATTTATGCTACATTTAATAATGGTTTAGCTTATCAGTTCATTGAAGGTAACATACTTACAATAGAAACAGTCAGAGATCCTAAAATATATATATTAATTGCTAAAAGAATGGCTCAAATGCATAAACTTAAACCTGAAGATGTTGAGATATCCAAAGAAGCTTGCATTTGGAACAAATTAGAAAAATTTATGGAAATTATGCCAAAAAAATTTTTAGATGATATTAAACAAGCAAGGTATTTTAAGTTTAAAATATTTTAGTTATATATTATATGTTTATTAGATTAATTATTATTATTATTTTTAGATTCGAAAAACTCATAAAGCCATTTATAATATTAAAACAAAATTATCAAATGTTAAAAATGGAACTTATAAGTTTGAATAATGATATAGTATTTGCTCATAATGATTTACTTCTAGGAAATATACTTTATAATCAAAAAGAAAATACAGTTACATTTATTGATTTTGAATATACTGCATATAATTATCAAGCTTTTGACATAGCTAATCATTTTGCTGAATTTGCTGGTAATATAAGTATATATGCAGAGTATTTTTTTTAACTCATAATGTTAAAATGCCTTCTATAAAAATGAGCAAAAATTATCAAAAAAAATGCTCTTACAAAAATTATTTATACACAGATTATATGTATATTATATATACATTATATTATGTATAAAAATAATACAATAGATTTTTTGGACATATAGAGATCATATAAAAGTGATATATTTTTATTTTTAATATTTAAAAATAATATTTAAAAATATTATATATTTTTTATTATTTATATCATATATTATCTATAATATTTATAAATGTTATATGATATAAATAAAATTTACTATAAGGATTATTCAATTTAATTTTAGGTATTGATAATCCTGATTATTCTTTATATCCTAATGAACAATTGCAAAAAGCATGGCTAAATATATATCTTCAAGAATATAATAATGTAAATTATGTACTTGAAAATGAGATTAATTTATTGTATTTTCAAGTAAATAAATTTGTTCTTTTATCACATTTTTTTTTGGGGTTGTTGGGCTCTCATACAAAGTGAACATTCAACAATTGACTTTGACTTTTTTACAGTAAGTATATATATATATAAAATATTATATATTTATATATATAATATAATCTTATAAATACTATATTCTTTAAAAATTATTTTAATAGATATGCCGCGATACGATTTAATGAATATTTTAAATGGAAAGAAAAAATATTTTAATATAAAAATATAAAAAATTTTTTATATTTTTATTGTTATGTGAAACTAACATTCCAATATTTATATTTGTTATATTTTGTAAATAACATTCCTGTGTTATAAACTTTTTTATTTGCATATTTTTTTATGTATAAATTAAAAATTTTATTATTGTAATAAGATCAATATTGTATTATAAATTTATATCAATGAATATTATTGTAAAAGAATAATGTAATATATAAATAACTTTGTAAATGTTATTTTTAAAATATAATAATTATTTCAAATAAAAACATTATTAATTATAATCCACTTATAAATAAAATAATATTTTTATACAGTGATTAATATTATTATTAGTCTATTGTCATTGTATATTAGATTTTATTTATTTATTTATTTTTTTTTTTTAAATACTTTTTATATACTTTTTTAAAATTGGAAATAGAAGAATATATATTGTGTGCTTCTTTAGTTATGGCAAGTAAAAAGTTAAATTTTGCTTAGAAGCATTAAAAATTATTAATTTTTTGCTTTCTAATACTTTTAAAGAAGAATTTAAAAATCCTAATTTTAAATTTAGAAATCCAGTTCAAAAATTATTTAAAATTAGTATTTTTTTAAATATATTTGATAGGTTATTACTGTCATGTTCATTTATTTACAATTCGTCCAATGAATGAAATCAATATTTGCATAAGACGGCTATTTAGGCGTAATAAATAAATTCTATTACACAAATATATTGTTATATATATTATTTCTAATAATCTATGTTAATTTGTATAATGATACAATTGCAACAATTATTTATTCGATTAATTCAAAATTGAACAAAAATAACTTATTAAAATAATAATTATTGCTGTCATTGCTTCCCATCTATCACCAAGAAAACATCTATTCTACTAATTCAATATTTTCAAGATATTATTTAATGAATCTAATGGACATCTTTTATATAGACAATTTTGCATTCTGAATTATGGATATAAATCAATAACACATGCATATTATTATGTAATATTCTAACTTACAAAAAAAATACTGTCAAATATGCTTAAAAAATATTAAATTATATATGACTTTTGAATTAATAAATTCTTTAATGAATTTAAAAAATATTATAAAAGCACAAAAAAAATAACAATTTGCTGTTTCGAGGTAAAATTTAGCGTTAAAAAATATCAATAATATAATAAATAATAGAATAAATATAAATAATAGATACTAAAATAAATCAAATATAGGTATAAATATATAAATATGAAATGTATAGAATATAATAAGATTTCTTTATTTCTTTTTTATTAAATTAAATTTATCAACTAAAGTAATAAAATGTTTTTTTTTAAATAATTACATATCAAAATAATGCAAATATTTTAAAAATTTTCTAATTTAAATAATCATGATAATTCGGAATAAAATTATATTATACAATATATATATATATTTCTTCATGTTTATATTATTATATTATCATTTATATTTTTATTTTTTGAAATTTGTTATAAATAGTGATAATATATATAAAATATCTCGTTATTGATAATATATTAATTAATAAAAATGTGTTATAAATATACTTTTTATTAATAAAGTGATATTTTTATATATTTATACAAATAAAAAATATATGGAATATCTCGTTATTAATATAATTGATATAATTGATAGAAAGTTATTCTTTAAGAAAAAATAAATCGATAAAATAAAAAGAAAGAATAAAAAAGAATAAAATTTTTTCATTTAAAGTTTTGTTTGCGAATAAATTAAGTTGAACAAAAAAAAAAATTTAAGTGAAATTGACTCAATTCTCAAATGAACTATCGATAGAAAATAATTCTATATAATTTTATATAGTAAAAAAAGTATAGTATAATTTTTTTCACTTAAAAATTAATTTTTGAAAAAATTGAATTTAAAAATTAGCTTATTATAATTAAACATAAATATTCAATTTCAAAAACAAGATTTCAACTAATAAAATATATTTTTTATTTATTCCCACACATTAAGTAATCACATATAGTTTATTCATATTTAATCGAAAATTAATTAATTTCATTTGATTTTAAAAATTTGTTAAATTTAATTTACTCAAAAATCTTAAATAAAAACAAATTGTTTTTTTTACTTACTTTTTTTATAAAAAATTATATCTTGTTTAGTTGTATCAATAACGAGACACTTTATATATTCTTTATTTATATAAACATATAAAAATGTTAAAACAAATAAAATATTTTATCTACAAAAATATAGCATATATTTTTATTAATTTTTATTAATCATACACAACAAACAGTTGACAATAATACTATATTTATTATTTTTGCTGAAAAATGCTGACACCAATCAAAATTAAGAATATTTTGTAACTCTGATTAAATATCTAGTAATATTTTTTTCCCAATAATTTAAAACATTATAGAATATAAAATTTAATAAAATGAATTATTTTGTTCTTAGTTCATGTCACTGATTTATATTATATATTATTTATATTATATAATATTATATAATCAGTAATTTAAAACGTAGGACAAACTTTCATAAGATAGTACATCTATTTTGTATTTTGTCTATGATTGTACTCATACTATACTATTAAATTCTATATTCCTATATCATATGGCAAAGTCGGTCAATTGACTAGCAAGTATGTTTTTGTCTGGGGTGATCACGTACGCATCTGCACGTACCTATAAATCAGTGTTTATTTTTAGTAGAGATTTCGAACATTTTGAAAAATATTTGTAAATACATGTGTTATAAACAAGAAATGTAAAAAATTATTACTTAATTCGAATACAAAGAATCATTTTATAATATTTATACAAAAATTTCGAATATTAATATTTAAAATTATTTCTTTATATGGTGAAAAAGAACTCTCAGACGCAAATACATATACTCGATAGACCACGAGCTTACTAATTCGTTTACTTAGCTTTATGTGTGTGAATCTGTCACAGCAATAAATCAATTTACGAAATAAATCAAATAATAAACGAATCCAACGCATCTAAATGTGTATATTATGTGCTTATTTTTTTTGAAATTAAATATCTCTTTAAAGTCTTTAATTAAACAAAAACAACATATTTGAAATTTAATAATAGCGCGAAATTTATGGCTTTATAACTATTTACTTCTTAAGTCAAACTATTGTTTTATGTTTTTTATTGCTTTGTTTTAATTATTTATGAAAGTCTTGATTAGTTTTAACTTTAAAAATCAAAAGTAGTCAAGAGAAAATTCTGGAAATTTATTTCAAACATGAAAAATATTGAATGAACTATATATGTATATATGAATCCCGGCATTGTGAAACGGTGTATTGGTTTTTAAAGTTTCTTTTAGAAAACGTTATATACTGATTGTGTAAGATGCACATCGCATGTAAATGTTTAAACGTGTCCATAAAATCTAGGGGCACTGAACTGCAGAAGTTCAACATTAACGATATTGAATTGACACTCGAAGAACAAAACGATAGTTTTTTTCATCAGGTAAAAATTTTTTAAAACAATTGCTATACATTTTTATAAAACATTCAATTTTAAAAAATTCATATTTTAAGAATAATCATTACAGAATATTTAATATTTTTTTATATAAATAGAAAAATAAGATTTTATTAAAAATTTGTAATATTTTAGCTAACTTTAGATAATAAATATTAAAAATAATATATTATTCTAAAGCAATATAGATTTTTTATTAAAAATATTTCTCTATTCTTAATAGAATCTTGCAACAGTATCAGAGCTTGAAGGTATTACTAAAGAACAACCAAGTTTAGTAGAAATAAGGAATATTGGATCATGGATTATTCATCGTTGTTATAATTGTTCAATATATACTCATGCTGTGCATAGAGATTATGGTGCTGCTTTAGTTCTTATTAATACTGATATTCTTGTGAGTATAAAATTATTTTTAATTATTATAGAATTTTAAAAACTTTTATAAAAATATAATTATTTTAATTAATTTATTTAGTTTTATTTTTATATATATTTTATTTGAATTTTAATATATCATATTTTTTCTTATTATAGAGTTTACCTGAAGAAATAAGTAAATTAAAATCTAATCCAGATTATAGCTCAGTATTTAGAATAATAATTGCTCATAATACGTTAGATGAATTGGATTATCTTCAACAACCTAACAAATTTTCTGGTAAATTAGCATTGATTATTTGGTATGGATTAATTTAGTAATGATTATATATATATTAATTAATTAAATTGATTGAATTAAAAATCTAAAAAATAATAGATAATAAATATTTCATTTTTTTTTATATACACTAAATATTAAATATTTTATTGCATTTCTTCAGTGTCGCAGTTACCTAATAATATACAAGTAGCTTTGGGTGGTCTCCAACAACAGCTTGAAGAAGCTGTTCAAAGACAATCTGTTGAAATAGAGAATAAAATTCGTGCTTTCACAGCAGAACAATATCAATTATTAGAACAGTTTCGTGAAAGAGCTCATAATGAACATAGAATATTGACAAGGTTTTATCTGATAATCACAACCTTATTTTTTTATTTAATATAATATTTTTAGATTTTATACTTATTTTTTAAATAATATATATATACTTCAGATTAATTTGTAAAGGAGAAGAAATAACTAGATTAACAAATAATATAGAAACTCCTCCTGTAACTCCAGACAGTTTTACAACCAGTTTAACTACCTCTGCAACAAATACAGTAAATACATCACAGATAGTATCAAATGAGACAAAAATCATTGCAAATTCTAATGTTAAACATGAAACTGGTGCTAAATATTCTTCTAATCCTCTTATTGTATGTCTTATTAATTATTTTAAACTATGTCTTAAAAGAATATTTATTACATAGTATATAATTTTTTAATATTTTGTAGAATGGTAGTATAGATAAGAAAGATCGAATATATATATATACTAAGGAACCAACTAGTTTTGACACAGAAGCTTTATTTCCTTTGGAAGGAATGGAAGATACTTTAAATGCTGATCAAGTTCAATCTTCAGAAGAGGGATCTGATACAGATGGTTAGCATTTAATTTATATAAATGATTTATATAAATATATAATAATTTATAATATATTATTAAATATATATATTTAATAAATTTATATATTATATAAATGTAGAAAATGTTAATTACATTATACTTAGACTCAGGTCAAGATGAAGGTATTCATATGCCTAGAGGACAAAGAGGTGGACATCCTACATTAGCTAAATCATTACCAGTTAGTGTTCCATCTTTTCCATCTTTTGTTCGTAGAACAGTTCAAGATCAAGATGATGATCAGGTGCAATATATATTTTTTTTTTTACAATTTAAATATTTTTTTAATGATTATTATATAGCTAGTGTAATTTTATAACAATAATATCATAATAATTCTATAATATTTGATATATATATATATATATGTGTGTGTGTATGTATTTATGTTGTTTTAGCTTTCAAGAGATCCACATGATCCACATAATATTCGAGCTTCAATTAAAGCTCTAGCAAAAAGCGTTCATGGTGATACAGTATTTGGAGATTTGCCACGTCCTCGTTTCTCTACTCAAATCTGACTTTGCAATAATCTCGAAGAAAGAGAATAAAATTAAGTTAAAAATTTAATATTCATATAAAGTACCTATTATTGATAATTGTCTTTCAATGGATGCTATGAGAGGTTAATGTAAGCAAAGATATAGACAGAATAAACATAGAAATGTATGGAAATATTAATATTTCGCATATTTTGAATATTTTAGGGTAAAATATTATTTCAAATCTTAGCTTTGTTAGTTTGTTGAGTTTATAAAAAAAAGAAAAAAAAAGAAAAAAAAAAATTTACATACCTGCATAAATTTGAGGCTATATTATAAAGATATAAATGTGCTATATATTTGTTACAGATCATAATGTAGAATGTAAAAAAAATTTAGATTTCAAAAATTAAGATGTGAGGTTTATAATGCCATATCTAAAATAAAATTATAAAAATGAAAGAGCAAAAAAAATTTCTTACATACTAATTAATAATTGAGATAATGGAATGGTTTTATTATGATGATTATTATTTCTACAATATGTTATTATCATTAGAGTAGAAAAACAATTTATTATAAGAATTGCTTAGTATGATTATTAAGTTCAATAGCAAAATATTATTGGAAATTATATTGATATCATATGTAATGATTTATTATACTAAGTCGATTCTTTATACAAATTTTTTTTTTATAATATAAACTAACTTTATGATAAAGAAACAATATTTTCCTATAGCAATATATAAATTATTTCATCAAAATATATTAATTAGAAATATTTGCATAAAAAAAATTTAGATTTCTATGCTTATTATGTTATGATATACCTATTAATATGTTTATTTTTTGGTTAATTAACAATTCAATTTAATTATGAACAAAAAATTTATATAATAAAATAGTATATGTTATGTTCTAAGAAACGTTTTTGTTTATATGTGTATACAAAGTGAAACAATAACTATAATCACCTTGAATATTTCTTATTTTTAATTTAAATTTATATGGTACAAAGGAGACTATAATATTATAATAATGATAAGTTTCTTAAAAGATTGTCAAAGATTTTGAGATCCATAAATATTTTTTTAAATGATTTATTTATTTATCAAAGCTATGATGACTCGATGTATTCTGTTATTAAATAAATAATCTTTGTATTTAATAAGAATAAAAAAAATGTAACAAACATAAATTAAAAAAAAA